CGCTGCAGGTCGGGACGGGGGGGGCCGGGGGCCAGGGTCCGGTCGGTACCGTCCCCTCGGCCGTGTCCTGGGTCCCCTCCGCCGTGCGCGTCCCCTGCGGGGCGCCGAGATCGCGGCCCGGCCCCGGCTGGCAGCGGGCAGGGCGGCGGGAGCGGGATGAGGCCGAGCCCCACCGCCAGGGTGGATCGGCCCGGCACTGTGCGGCTGCGGAGCCTCCACGCGTGACACCGGGACGGGGCCTCCACGCGTGACGCCGGGACAGTGGCAGAGCTGCACGGTGGGACAGCGGGAGGGCTGCGGGACCTGTGCAGCGCGGCACCGGTACGGCTGTGGCTGTAGCGCTGCTGTGGCACCGGCACAGTCGCAGCACCGGTGACGCCCTGTGACACCGGTAAGGCTGGGGGACGTGTACAGCGTGACATCGGTGTCGCTCTGGGACCTGTGCGCTATGACAGCGATACCACTGCAGCACCAGTACATCTCCAGTCCCACTGGGGGTACCTCCCTGCCCGCTCCCGCTGGGTCCCTTCACTCCCCTGGGCTGCTGTGCCCATCCCCAGGGGTGCACAGGCTGCGGCTGGAGGCCCTTCCCGCCCCTCTCATCCCAATTCCCCCTCACGCTCCCCACAGGGCGCTGGCCATGGAGCCGGGCACCATCGACAACCTGTCCATCCTGTACCAGAGCTCCGACTTCATCGTGGTCAACAAGCACTGGGACATCCGCATCGACAGCAAGATGTGGTACGAGACGCTGACCCTGCAGAGCCAGCTCAAGTACCGCTTCCCTGAGCTGGCCGACCCCGACACCTACTACGGCTTCAGGTGAGCGGCCAGGGACCGAACTGGGCTCTGCCCTGCCTCTGAGCCGGCCTCAGCCGGGCACACTGCCCAGGTGCCCAGGCATGCTCCTCTGCCTCCCGTCTCCTCCCCAGGTTCTGCCACCAGCTCGACTTCTCCACCAGTGGGGCCCTGTGCGTTGCACTCAACAAAGCAGCCGCGGGAAGTGCCTACAAGTGTTTTAAAGACCGTCTGGTGACCAAAGCCTATCTCGCCCTGGTAAGCCCACCCCACCAGGTCCTGCTTCTGGACATATCTTCTGAGTTTGCACCATTGCAGCTTGGTCTCTGCTTCTTGTCGTCCTGGTGTTGGTGAGGAATGAGTGCCGGGGCTCGGTTTGCAAACTGGCTTTCTGCTCTGCAGGTCAGGGGCCATGTCAGCCAGAGCCGAATGATGATCCGCTACGCCATAGGGAAGAACACCACCGAGGGCATGACCCACATGATGTGCATCGACGGGACAGAGGGTGAGCAGGTCCCATGCCCTGCCTGTGCTGCCCGGACCACCTGGGCCACGCTGGGGGGGAGCTGACCCCCCTCTGGATCTTGTTGCAGGCTGTGAAAATCCCAAGCCTTGCCAGTCAGAGCTGATCGTGCTCGAGCATGGGTCCTACAGCGGAGACCCCGTAACCAAAGTGCTGCTGCAGCCGCTGCCGGGTGGGAGCTGGGGGCCGGGGCAGCGCGGGCATGGGGGGCTGCTGAGGCTGGACAGACAGAGGCAGCAGAGGTGCTGCAGCGGGACCTGCGCTTGCAGCCCTGGGCCTTGGTTGCAACACGGGGTTATAGTAAAAAACAAAGCCTAGAAAGGGCTGAGCGGAGCTGAGAGCTGCACTCAGCTCGCGGAAGACTCAGGTTCTCAGACTGGGAGGACAAATGCCATTTGGTGCATTGTCACCTTGCACCACTGTGCCCTCAAGGAGGGATTCAGGGATAACCTGTGTCCCTGATGCCTCCGCTCCCACTCTCCCCCTAGGGCGGACTCATCAGCTCCGGGTTCACTGCAGCGCCATTGGCCACCCCATCGTGGGGGACTTCACCTACAGCCACAAGAAGGACAACAGTCCCTATAGGATGATGCTCCATGCCTACTACCTGCGCATCCCCACCAGCAAGGAGCTCATCGAGGTCTGCGCCCCCGACCCCTTCGTCACCACAATGGACAGCAACTGGGTGCCCCACCATGTCACTCATCGGCTGGATGAGACCATCCAAGAGCTGAAGGACAAGATGATACAGAAGGCGAAAGAGGAGGAGAGCCGGGAAGCCGTGCTTGGTGGCGTAGGAGAGGAGGCACCGAGCGAAGCCAAAAGCCCGGAGACAGAGGAGCAGCGAGCCCAGTGCGAGCAGTGGTTGGCCGAGTGGGCTTTGGAGTGAACACAAACCACATCTCTGCATTTCCAGCCCAATGCTCTGTTTTCGTCCCAGTGGGTCTCCACAGAGCCCAGTGCTGACTCCACATCTGCACTTTCTGTATGCCGTGGCTTCCCTCACTTCTGGGGCTGGGATTAGACAGATTTTAGCAGTGATTAGGATGGGTTTATTTCTTAATATGCACATCATCCATCTGGCCACTGGATGCCCCTTTCCTAATTCTGGGCCTCAGCAGCAGAGTCAGTGTGTCGTGTACCAGCTTAGAGTGACCCCAAAGCTTTACGTCCCCGTCCCGGGGCTCAGGCACAGCCAGGGCAGCACGGACACTGCCTTTGCCACGAACGCGATGGATGTATCTGCAAACCCTCAGTGCTAGGGTGCTAAAATGCAGCCCAGCAAAGGGAGAGGAGAACGTGCCAGGTTCAGCTTTGGTGTCCATGTCCCTAATTCCCTTCGCTCCAGCCTGCTGCGCTCACTGGCACACGCATTGTGCGGGAGGTGGGAAATCAGGAGGCTGAATTGCAGCTTGGGGGCACCGACAGCCCCCCTAGTCCCAGGGTGGCCCCGGGTGTTTTACCCGTGGAGCTGGGCCATGCGACGGGTGCAGGAGAAGTCCCTGCCTGCCACCAAGGACGTGCTGCCTGCCCGTCCCTGCCCTCGTGTTTTCCTTCCTGCTTCAGCCCATGTGTGGTTTTTTTAAAGGTTTGTTGAAGGTGAGTGAGTTGATATGAATGGATTTTAAACTTTTTTCAAATTTCTATGAGAAGAATCTAGTCTTTTAGCAGTTCTGAAATACCGATGGTCTCGGAAATGCGTGTATTTTTAGTACTTCTGTAGTCAGAATAGCCAGCAGCCCAAAGCTTCTTTAATAGATATTATTCTTTCTCCTAGCATTGCCTTTTCCTAGCACCCACTTTTATTCTGGGTGTGGATGTAACCCCTGCTGAGACAGGTCAGAAGCCACAAGCCCCTTTCTGCTTTGCCCAAACAAGGGGGAATCAGTTTTTGTCCCATCACGTGGCTCCTCGCTGGCAGGTTGCTGTGGGGGTGTCGTCTCCAGAGGGTGCCGCAGGCAGGGCCTTCGGGTGGGCGGGTTGGGAGGGCTCTGGAGCAGCGAGAGCGGCCGAGGAAATGGTTGAAGCTGAAAGAAAGGCTGAGGACTGATGTGAAGAGCGGGAAGGAGCTCGTCTCTCAGACTGGCACTCAGCTTTGCAAGATGCAGAGAGGAGTTTCTCTGGAAATGCCCATGCTTTGCCAGCCGACATCATGCCACTTCACTCTCTCCTTCCCACCCCGCTTGTCCTCTGCAGCCCTTAGAGGAAGCTTTGAAAATGAAGAGAGCAGGGCAGCTGGCATGGGCTGGGGGGGACAGGGGTGGCTGGAGCCCCTTGCGTACAGAGCACCGATTCCTGGGGTATTCAGCACCGAGCCGCCGCATCAGCACGTGCCCAGATTTATCGTCACCCCGCAGGCCCTGTACCATTTGAAATGCACCTGACGGTGGTTTTGTGTAACTCAGATTGCTGCCCTGAGGGGAAATAAAATGGCACAGCCCTCTTCTCATGGGTGAGCGCACCGTACGGGTCACCGAAGCCCCACAGGGTTTTGCATTGCCTGTCCCTGGCATCCCCGGGTGCTGGTGGGTGCAATCTCACTGTGCTGTGGTGCGTGGCCGGGGAGGAGGTGGCTGTCACCTTGCTTTCGTGGCTTGGCACAAAGTGCTGCCATCTGCTGCAGGATGGGGACTGGTGCACAGGTCATGGCTCTGCAGGTGCCAGCCCTGGGCACCAAGCACGGACAGGCTCATGAGCTGGTGACAGAGGGCTGAGCGGGGGTTTGGAGGAGCAGAAGAACCGTCTCCTTCCTCCCAGGCTCCATCTCTGCCCATCCCATCTCCCAGGAGTGGCCGGGGAGGGGAGAGGCAGCCACAGGCGGGTCCCAAAGCTATAAATCAATGCCATGAACCTGTTTGCCAAAGAATGAACGCGGGTGACGTGCACAGGAGGTCCTGAAAAGTTATGGGTGAGATTTGTAGCATCAGAGGTGGGACACAGCCTTCCCTTCACACTGGTCCCGGTGTGGGAACAGTCCTCGCTGCGCGACGGGGGATGCGTCCTGCAGCCATGTGTCCGGGAGGAGGCTGCCCTCGGCCGTGGGGCTGGCGGTTACTGGAGATGGTACGTGGGGACATGCCAGTGCCCACGCATAAGGGGACGCTGATGGACCATCAATGTTGGGGGGCTGGCACCCAGTGCTCACTCCACCATCTGCATTGAGAAGCCCCTGCACCCTGCAGCACCCATCAGCCTTCGTGTGTTGCACTTTTACCTGACACTGCAGGAACCAGAGATAAATATGTATTTTCCTTACCCTGCAGAGAGGTGTTTTCCAGGTGCCGTTCCCCAGCTCCTGTCCCACGCCACGTCCAGTCCTGCTCCCTCCTCTCTGCCGTCACAGCCATGGGGCCATTTGCTGCAGTGTGTGTGAATCCACTCGTGCATTCGGACCGGGGGGTTGTGATCAGGTGTGTGTTTTGTGACATTCTGTACAGCTTGCAATAACCCTTATATCTTGTTGCGCATTACCATAGTAAACTATTGCCTATATACCCTGCAGTTCACTCTCTGGTCTCTCAATCCACGCTGCGCCGCGCAGGCCAGCGCGTTGCTGCAGCGTGGCCAGTGCGGTGCCAGGGTCTTCCAGGAATGAGCCCGGACCAGCACAGCAGGACCGGCTCCAGGGCTCCAACCTGTTGTGTGAGCACCGGTGCTCATCATCGCCCTGATGAAATCCCCCTGGCCGAAACCACTGGGGTTACCTGAAAGCTCTCCTGGATTTAGTAACCCTGACACAGACAACCAAGGATGCCCAGGGCAGCTGGGGCAGATGCCGCTGCCCCGGCCCTTCCCCTGCCTGTCCCTGCCTGCTGCCCACCCTGGTCAACACCCACAGCTGGGATTGTCCTGAATCAAAGAGCACAGGCGGAAGAAAAACTCCTGATTTCGAAACACTGCAGCTCTCCCTGGCAGGGAAATGGGGGGAGCAGCCCTGGGGCAAATGGTGTTTAGGGGGTGCACAGGGAAAGCTGCTGCCACACATGATTTCTATGTAACTCTTGTACATCAACGGTCATTCCTCAGGTTGGAGCAGCTGGAAAAGTGAGTGAAGATCCAAAGGAATTATTTGCAGTCTTCAGGTTGTGAGATTTTTCAGATTATAAACCTGGCAAGGGTGGAGAAGTAGCTGGTTAAGTGCAGGAGAGTTTCCAGCCCACCTGGCATGGGGAGATGTGGTCGGAGCCCACCACTGACCCACCAAGGCCCCCAGGAGAAGGGGCTTGGGTGGATGCTTCCTGGCACATTCGGGTTTGGGGTGGTTGCTCCTGTGCCTGTTCCTCAGGCCCTGGGGTTGTTTCAGGGCCAGTTTTAAGCTCCGTGAGGACATGGTGGACACGTTGACCCACAAAGGGGCCCCAATGTGCCCTTGCCCTCCCACTCCAGCCACCTCTGGCCAGCAAGCCTGTGGCGGGGGCCGTGTCCCACCAGCAGCCTCATAGCAAACAAGTTTCTGTAATTTTACCACTCCAACAAGAGCTATTTTTACAGCAAACCCTTCCAAAATAGAAACCAGAAACACCCACGGGCATTGACCAAGCCCTGGTGCTGCAGGACCGGTTGCTCAGTGGGGGACAGGGATGGGGACACCGGCTGGGAGCACTGGGCGATGGCAAACCCCGCTCAGGGCTGCACCAGCAGGTCCAGGGACCCTTTGCGAAGGCTGATGCCCCCAAACCTGGCCGAGCGGGTGGTGCAGCCAGGTGGCCAGCGCAGCCGACCTCTGCCAACTGCTCTCACCCGTCCCTTTTCCCTGGATAAATGCCTTTGCTGCCGTGCAGCACTGGGGTCCGCCGAGTTTTCATCACACAGGCTCGGAAAGGCTTTGCTTCCTTTCTTTTTCGTCTCCTTCATGGCATGTGCTGGACAGCATTTCAGAGCAGGATCAGAAATTACAGGGAGAAAGTTGTAAAAAGGGGAATGGGACTGTCCATAGTCAAGGCAAAAAGGACAGGCACGAGGGAAGCACTTCCCAGAGGGGTCCTGAGCCCATCACCGAGGACTCGTCTGTTCTGCACCCCGGTTGCCCTATAAAATACACCCCTGAATAGCTCAAAGGTTTTTCACTAACTGGGAGGACCTTTGTCTCCATCAGGAGCACAGAAATCACCAAACCAGAGGATTTAACTCATTTGCCCCAAATGTCAAAGTGACCCTTTACAAAGGGGAAAAGAAAAAACAAAACAAACAAAAAAAAAAAAACCCGAGAGAGAAAGCAGCTTTACAAAACACTGTTGAGAAACTGCCCCGTCACACCCGGTTTTCAGAGCAACATCCCCACCCCACAGCAGATAAGTGCAGAGCCATCCCAGGCGCTGCCCATCCCCGGCCACCGCAGGTGGGTGAGCACCTTCCCCGGCTGAGCGGCACCGAATCCTCTTCAGCGAGCCAAATCCTCCTGGACGGAGAGCGACTCGGCAAGGCCACTGGTGGGATTTAGGGAACATAATGAGACTTAGCAGAAAAATTATGCACGTCTAGTTTGAAGGCAATAAGCAATAAGCTAATTGCTCTGGGCAGCACTTAGCAGCCCATTGATGGCATTTCTAGAGCGGGGATTTATTTTCTATTGGGGGTTTCTAGCTGATGGTTGTGGAGTCAGGTACAGGGGGAGCGCAATATCTGCTGGTGCTCCTCCACTGGGTTACACTGGATTTCTCCCAGTCTGTGCTGATGTGGTCCCATGTAGAGCTGGGGGATGGAGGGGGACCCTGTCCCTGCAGGGCACGGGCAGGAGGGGGGCTCAGGGTGTCAGAGAGGACAATTTATTGTGGAGTTTCTTTTAATAATGGATGGAGAATGAAATTCTGTTTTCTGTTATATAGGATTTAAAATCTCTTCCTTGGTTGCGGGGGGTTTGTGCAGGCACTCACAGAGCACGGGTGGGCA